AAAAAAAAAAAAAGGCTGACTTTTGTTCCAGAAACCATCACTGTGTCACCAGGATTCGTCCCTGCTCTGTCCAAACCGCATCACAGACCACACATGCCCAGAAAATCCCCCTGGGGGCCTGCCGCCCCCCACAAACACGGGGTCTGGGAGATACGGCCACTCACAGTGCGCGAGATGGGGTAGGAGGGGCCCTTCTAAGAGTTCCAAAGCAGGGAGGGTGATCCCACGGGAATCCCAAGTTCGGAGCACCGGGCCTTAAAGGTGGGGAGACTGAGGGGAAGGGTCCTGTCGCCTGGAATGACAACCCCTGAGGTTAGGGGCTAGTCTGTCTGCTTTGGTGTCCCTGGGCATCGTGCCCCATGGGGCTGTCGCGTGAATGGGAGGGAAGGAGTCTGAAAGACGGGAAAAGAGGAGGGAAGGAAGGAAGAAGGAAGAGAAGAGGGAAGGGAAGAGAGAAGGGAGAAGAGGAGGTGGAAGAGGGAGGGAGGGAGGGGAGAGCCTGCCCATTACGCACTCACTCAGCAGATCCTCACCGGCCACTGCCTGTGCCCACCTTGCTGGGCGCTGGGCACTCAGTAGGGAGGCAGATTCAGGCCCTGCCCTGAAGTAGCCCACCGGCCAGGGAAGACAGGCCCAGCCGTGGGCACCGCACTCTCAGAGCAGGGCTCTGTGCCCCGGAACTCGGGCTCCAGCAGAGGGGGTCAAGGCACAGAGAGCTCACATGTGGTGTGGGTTCAAGTTCAAGAACTGTTGACCCAGACGTGGCAGGACAGGAACGGAGGCGGGACAGGGCAACTTGCGACACGCAGCGAGGAGATAAACCCCAGCCAGGCCCGAGCCTTCCTTCCGGCCTACGGTGGCCGTACAAGGCCCTGAGGGTCTGTGAGGGCCCCTCTCTGGGTCTCCGCGTCCTGGCCAGCCGGTCACTAGCTCTGGGCCGCTTTTTCTCAGAGAAGACAGGTGTTTCTCCACACCCAAACCTCTGTCGATGGAAGATGAACGGGAGGGCCTATGAGTTCCCCGTTCTCGGTGGCCTTGAGAACTATGGTTCTGAGGCTCAACTGCCCGTTAGAATCACCAGGACAGGGTCCAGACCTCCCAGCGCCCAAACCGCACCCGGCCCAGGGACTGAGAACGGGCACAGGTAAGGCCCAGGATCAGAAGTCCAAGTGCAGCCAAGATGGGAACCACCTTCCTGGAGCTTCTCAAAGGGTGGTCCGTGGACCAGCAGCTTCCGGGCCTCCCAGAGCGCGTTAGTCATCCAGAGTCTGCGTCTATCACCGGGGTGAGCAACGCACATGTGCATTCCGAGCCGCTGCCTGGTGCATGGCGTGAAACCCAGGTGTACTTCCTGTCCCCGGAGGCCCCGAGTGGCGGATGGACATGAGCTGGCCGGCCCGTCTGACCATCACGGCCCAGATTTGGATGACCCAGGGTGGTCTGAGCGGGGCACCTGGCCCCATTAGGCGTGCTCTGTTCCCACCTTGCCATAGGATGCTGGGACCCTGTGCAGCCCACGCCTTCCTTCCATGGGCCTTGCCTGTTAGAAAGTTCTACCAGATCCGACGCAGGGTTCCCCGGCCTCTGACTCCCCTGGGTGAGCTGCCGGGGCCTGGTCTCCACCTCAGGGTGTCTGCTCCCCAGCACCTTGTCTCCCTCTGCCTGGGACCTTTAGGCCGATTTCTTTCCTCCCGAGCTGCTGCCTCAGCACCCCGCCCCCCCCCCCCCCCCCCCCCCACTGTCCCCCGGGTGGGACCTGTCCCCCAGACCAACCAGGACCGGCCGTTCGAGAAGATTCCATCTCGCTAACACCACGCTAATTGTGTCCCTAGAAGGAAGCACCCAAAGCCTTTTGTTAGTGACGTATACTGCCGTGATGGAGATGATTCACGGACAAAAGCGGCCTGGGTCAGGGTCCAGGATGAGAGGACCGGGCAAGGGGAGTGGGTCCCGACAAGGAACAGGGGGTGATGGGGGAGCAGATCCCTCCCTCCATGTGGAGACTCCAGGAGGGGCCAACACGGCGAAAGGGATCGGTGAAGATACGTTGCTGCCTATTAGAAATCTGTTACGTGAGATCAGAGAACAACGTCCCCTTCCCACAGTACGATGGACTGAGTCGCTGAGCACGAGTCACGTTGCAAAGCAACAGAAAAGTGCCATGTGTATGCATGCGTGTGAAGGTATTTTTTTCTGTGTGCATATACTCATACAGATATGGATAATGGGCAGATTAATATGCATCACACAGAGCAAGCAAGAGCAAGGAAGACCCTCACGAGCCAAGGAACTAAAAATGGAATTGGAATTCTCCAGAGGTAAGCCACTGCCTAAGCTGGTTTTGCCCAGCGGGAGCATTTGCCAAGCCCAGTCACCTTGACCTTCCTTTGTCAGGACCACTTACGGCGCTGGGGTGGGAAGGAAAGCCTGGGCCTGTCCTGCTCGAGAGTCAGGGAGCCCACGTAAAGCCCGGTTTTCCAAAGGGCTATGATGTCACTGTTGAAATAAGTTGGCAGGGGGTGGGGCGCCTGGGTGGCTCAGTCGGTTAAGCATCTGACTTTGAC